TCCCTCCCTCCCTCCCTCTCTCTCTCTCTCTCTTTCTCTCTCACCTCCTCACAGCACCACCTTGCTAGATCTCCTTTTCCTTCCCCTAACCTCTTTTCATATCCCCCCCATGCTCTCATTCCCGCCCTTCCTCTCATTTTTTCTCTCATAAGTTCTTCTCTTATCATGTATCCTGGTATGTTCCATCCCACACCCATCATCCATCTTAAGTATCTGTTGTGCATCCTCTCTACCTCTTCTCTCTCCTTCCACCCTCATATTTCCACCCCATAACCCATCACCGTCCATACCAGTCTGTCAAAAAGCCATAAACTTCTCTCCCAATCCCTTCTAAATCTTCTTTTTCCTATCCCCCCATACTTCCCTCATTACCACAGCCCTCTTTTTCATCCTCTCTCTTATGTGCTCCTTACTTCTTCCATTTGCCGTTACTATGTAATCCAAGTACGTAAATTTTCTTACCTCCTCTAATTCCCTTCCCTTCCACATCCATCTAACTTTCTTCCACCTTTCCCCTCCTTTCTGCATCTCATCACCTTCGTCTTTCCTATATTCACTTCTAACCCTTTTTCCTCCATGTACTTCTCTAACCCTTTTATCATCCCTTTCATCCCTCCTTCATTCTCCGCTATCACTGCTATGTCGTCCGCATACGCCATCGACCAAATCTTTCTTCCTCCCACTTTTACCCCCCCCCCCTCCCCCATCTTAAAATATCTATTTTTTCCCTTTTTGAAGATTTAATATTTATCATATAAATATTAAACTGAAAATTATGAGCTATAGAACATTTTCTGTACATTTTTTAAATGTTTCTTTGAATCGTTTAAAATATTTTGAAAAGAACGCGTGGGTTATTCAAACAATATATACTGAACACGACTACAGTGTTCAGTGGCGAAAGATCAGTGTTATTGGTGTAATTCTAATTTAAACTATTGTGTAATTAAAATTACATTTTTTCACTTACAGCGACAATTGAGGGAAAAAAGAAAGACTAGTGATCCGAATCTATCCAAAACAAAGTGAGTAGTTTTGATTTATAGTATTGCTAACACATTGACTATAAAAACTTGAATGTTAAGTAGAAACCTCGAAATTCATAATGTTGTATTTGCTCTTACTGTAAACAAAGTTGCAAATACAACATCATGAATTAAATAATTACATAATAAATTATATAGACTATCTAATTTTTTTCTTTAAAAACGTCACAATAAATTATTTGTTTCTATTTATTGTGTTAGTTGAATAAATTTATTTGATTGACCTCTTTAGTTGATTCAAGATTAATTTATTAACGTTCAAGGAGACTCTATAAACTCTTATATAATAAGGATGAATTCTTTTTAATTTAGTTTATGCGCACGCGGAGAGACTATTCCATCTTTTATATTCTATTTTATAGGAACATTGCCGTAATTACAATGAATAGCAAAATAAATGTCTTATTATAACACATGCTTGATATAATTGGTTGAATTTGGTATAATTTAGCAGAAGTTTATCCTTTAAAAACCAATGCTTAAGGAGATGCTGGTGTGATTCTGCACTTTTGGCACCTTTTGCTCCTAGAACTGTGAATTTGTAATAACATTTGTGTAATATACAAATTATGTGGCTTTCGTGTATGAACCGGCAATGTTCCACTATTAGGACTAAATCAGAGAACAGCATGATCTCATTGAAATTAGGTTTAGAAGCCTAACAAAAAAATCTGTTCACTCGAATAATATTATTATAGGTTTTAAACCTACAACTTAGGTTTTAAACCTATAACTTAGGTTTTAAACTTATAACTTAGGTTATTTTTAAGGTGATATCATAAATTTTGTAGTTTTAATTACACTGATCTTATAAAACATAATTTTTTCGTGTACATATGAACATTTGTATGTACACGCACTGGCATAAATGCTGTCCCTATCCGTGTGAGACGCACGCATACGAACAAGCTGGTGACTAATCCGACCGCTGGGCAACCGCGGCGCGACTTTCGGATTGGTCGTTCGCTTGTTGAGTGCGTACGCCTCACACGGATAGGAACGGCATTTATGTCGGGGCGTGTACACTAGGACCAGACTTCATAGTTAGATTTTATATTCAAGACTGTTTTAAGATCATCTTTAGATACTCCGTAGCAAATGAAATGTTCCATACAGCATTTTTAGATAAATTCATGGTCTTGAGTATGAGATCTGACTATACCGGTCCTAGTGTACATACATACATATGTATATACGTATATGTATACACATATAAAAGACGTTACGAATAAGGTGTCCATCCGCTCGTTTACAGGTAGAACGGTTGAAAAGAAAAGTACTATATTTTGTGAAATTTGCAATAGTTATCGAGTATTTCTATAAAACGTTTGAGCGAATAAGCGCGAGGAAAGCGGTAGGTCAGACTCGATAGGCATCTGATAGTGAGAAGTGAAATGATGCGTGGCATATAGCACGGCGCCGAAAAATTGTCAGGTAGTGATTGTCAGGCGAGTGATTGTTTACGCGTCTCATCGTCTGAGATTCGCCGCTTGCTACTTGACAATTTTTTCCGGCGCGGTATTATATGTCACGCATTGTTCTATATCTCGCTTTACTGCCTATCAAGTCCGGCTTTTCTCGTGCTTATTCGTTCAGACGTTTAAATTAATTACTCGATAACTATTCCGAACAAAATGGTACATTTCAGTTAAACTTTTCAATTGAATCTGCTCTATCTGTATATGAGCACATGGATATCTTATCCATAACACTCTGTAATATACACAGATAATTGTTTTGTGTCGGACAAGAGCTGTGTTCGTAATTGCAAATCTGAGACGTAGGAGTGCTGTCTTGAATGAACGAGAGAAGAATGAGAGATAAAAAGAGGAAAAGTACTTCGACACTTAAGATTAGTTATGCTGAACGTAACAGATCAGTATAAAAATACATTGCACGTTTGTATATACTTACTTTATTATTATGAGAGAGAATTCCAAAAAGATCGAGTGTCCGTTTTGTTATATTAAACTTGTGTCCACGATGTTAGATTTCGATCCGAGTCCTCAGTCCGAGAAATAGTGTAGCCAATCAACTTGCAAAATGGAAAACCGGCAATTGTATTAACTACACAGTTCTCCGACTGAGATCTCGATCCGAGGTCTGTTACAAGGGTTATGTTTACATTTCACAAAACATACATGACCGATCGCGCACACTCACAATCAGTTACATAGTCTTTTGCCACGCTAGTGACACTTAAGAAGATCTCACAATCAGTCCCTAATGCGACAAATGTATCAACTTGCAATTATTAAATCGGCACAAGGGTTAGGTTAGGTTAGGTTTACTCTATTTACGTGCGCTCGGTACGTATGTAAAGGCCTTCACACATAACATTCCGTAAGGACGTAAAACGTAAGCGTAAGAAAATCAACAGGTTGGATTTGCTACTGCTTGCGTCATTGCCTTACGTTCTCGACTGTGATTGGTCGATTTTCTTATGCTTACGTTTTACGTCCTTACGGAATTTTATGTGTGAAGGCCTTAAGTAAGTCCGTAACGTCAATTACGTCAGCCCCGCTTGCAAGCGCCACAAGCGACAGAAATATGAAAAGGACGTTCCCCGACCACTTTTTTGGTTAATGACCACATTTTTTAAAGATCATATATCGGAACAAGTGGACACGTTTGACTTTGCATCGCGATATCTCTGCTCTTAGAGCACGTAAGCAAAAAATAAAAACACTTTTATTATGTAAATCGTACCCAAGTTATCGATTGAGTACACTGAGAAGTTTGTCGAATCTGCCGTTGTTGAGATCCAAAAATCTGTGGGCCTGTCAACTCGCGTACTTACTCGCGTAAACTACAGGGTCGGTCTCGCGCGCGCGGTTGTAGCTAGCAAACTGGCGCGAGACACAACCGTGTCTCGTGATAAAATTCAAAATGATCGATTCGATGTAGCAAATAGATATTTCACAGTTAACTGGATTTGTTTCAAACTTGTGACGGAAATTTTTGGGATTATCGATTTCTTGTTTCGAATTTTATATTTTTAACATCGGATTTGTAATTAGCAACCTCGAAAATCACTAAATAGCAAGTTTGAAGCAAATTCAGTCAATTGTGATAATTTTGTTCGCCATATTGACTCCATTTTGAATTTTGAATTTTAGACATTGGATTTGTAATCAGTGATTTAAACATAGATATCTATACTAAGATATTTGTGGATTTAAACCCCTAGACCATGATTTTGAAGTATACGTTATGTAAATAAATCTACACTCTAAAAATAACACTTTCGGTACATATTTATTAATAAAAAATGATTTGTTTAAAATATGATTTTACTAATTAACTTATTAGTTGATTTGTCTTAAACAAATAATTTGTTATTAATAAATATACATTGAAAAACTCAGTTTTAGAGTACATATTTGTTTACATAAAATTTTGTTTTATAAGAATATAAACTTCAAAATTATGGTCTGGGGTCTTGTGAGATCGTTACGATTCACTGATACCCTATATACATATATACCACCCTGTATAAACATATACAGGGTGGGGCGTTTATCTTGAGACAATAATATTTCTCGGTTGGAATGAATTATTTCGAAAAAAGTTTCAGACAAAAGTTGTTTGGTTTCGAGGGGGCCATAAGATGGTATCATTGGTTTGACTTTTAAGAATTATTTGAAGGTCACATAAAGGTCACACCAATTTTTTTAAATGGCATCTCCCATTTTTTATTACATATTCTTGTAGCTGACCTCGAGAGCTTCCCAAAACGCTATAATAAAGTATTTTTTATTAAGAACTTTTTGAGTTATTAAGGTTTGAAAGTTCCAATATTTTGACATAAATTACAAAATATCTTGTAAAATATTCATTTTTTTATCATCTTACCTTAATACTTTTTTGAACAGAATAATGAGACAAATCAACCGGTGTAAAGAAAACACAAAATTGTTTAAAAAAATTTTTTTATTACTTGTTACAAAATTGTGTTTTCTTTACACCGGTTGATTTGTATCATTATTCTGCCGGCGCGCGGCAGTACTGTAACTTTCAAGCCTCACAACTCAAAAAGTACTGAACAAAAAGCACTTTATTATAGTGTTCTGAAAAGCTCTCGAGATAAGCTGCAAGAATATGTAATGAAAAGTAGGGAGGTCCATTTAAAAAACAAAGTTGAACTCCATATGACCTTGGCACGTTCACTCAAAGTCAAACCAATGACACCATCTTATGTCCTCCTTTGAACCAAACAACTGTTGTCTGAAACGTTTTTCTGTATCTTTCATATTTTTCGAGATATTTGCCTGGGGCGATTAAAATGAAACACCCTATATTCGAGTCTCAAGTGATTTTAGTGCATGTATATTTCAGAACACTATGTCGATGCCAATTTACAAAAGTCGTGGACTTAATTAAAGTGCGTTATTGCAATCGCGACGCAGAACGCCAAGTGAATGAAGCCGTTTTATATACTTTAAAAAGTAGCTCGAATTCAGATCAAAGGCACTAGGCCTGTCCCAATACTCGAATTCTCAAGCAGTTCAATTACTCAAGTTAACTTTTGAAGAACGAGTGATCCCGGCCATCGTCATCGGATCACGCGAGACCATCAATCAGGTGGGCTGACGGTGGCGGTGATCCAAAGTGGGGGACACTCACCGTCCGTTCCTTCGCCGCCATCTTAAGTCGCGCATAAACCAAAATTTCTTACACGTTTTTATTTTATATTTTTTTCAAAAATGTCATCCTAAGTTAATCTATAGTATCTATCTTCTTGGTACATCTTCTGTATGCGCATGTATAATACGTGTACATGTATGTGTACGTGGCGCGTGCGTTTGTGTGTTTTGGGTACCTAAAATTTACGAATCAAAATACTAAGTTTATACAAGCAGCGCCAAGTTTTTTAATGAAAAATGATGTCATGAATCAGGATCGATATGTATCCCACAATGAAATTAGAAAAGGCGATCTGTTAATAAAATATTTATTTTTATTAAATTTTTATGGAA